CTTAAAATACTCATAACTTCCTTTAAAATTTAAATATAATAAAAAGCATATGAGGTTGACTAGATAACAATCATACCTTTAAATTTTATRAGAGGTCAATTCACTCTAATTTTTAAGCAAACGGAGCTACATGTGTTCTACTGAACGTAAAATTTACTATATAATGCACTTGTAAGACAGAGACAACACATGCGGGTATCACGTCCTCTTAATTAATTTATCATCATTTCCAAGTGGTATTCAAAATATAAGTAAGGTTGGAGAGAGGTTAGAAGGTGGCAAAGCCTTCCACGCGTCTGTGTTTAGCATAATTGTGCACTTGAAACGCAGTTTTTAGATCGTTAGATTGATTTCTTCTACTTAATTTTTCCCAATTCAAGCTCTGCGTGTATAATATCTAATCATGTATGGCTGACGGCATTGTGTAGGTATAATAATTTACATCGTAATGATTACAGATATTGCTGTAATTATGTACTTACTGACTACCTATATTAAATATTATGTACATGATATATATTATAAATATTAAATAGTCATGTGCAAACATTGGTAAATCATATAGAATATATATCAATACTGCTGCATTCGGTCCATTACCAATAGTTTTTCAACTTTAATCAAAACACCGCTTTACTTAGGTAATTTTTGTTACTATACAATGTAAAATATAGTGTCTACGCATCACGTTTAAATTGTTTAACTGAAAATAATATTTTGTCGAAATAGGATCTCAAATATAATTAATAATAAATGATAATAAAAATTTTAAATACGCATTATTAAAAATCGAATAGTTATTAATAACAATACATATTATTATAAGTACGAGAGTTTTTATTTTCTTTTGAAGAATTGTTTTTCGTGTAGTACTAAATTAATAATATTAATAATAATAATAAATCTTATAAAAAAAATCAAAAATGAAGTCAATACTATTTTCAAAACTATTTTTCAAGAGCCCAAGGCTATGATATGCATTTTATTAACAATTAAGAGGACGTTGTACCTCAACGGTACTTGTAGTGTTATCACTTTATTATATTATAAAAAAAAAATAGTACCTATCTATTGCGCATAGCGCTTAAAATATGTTTTATTGTGTTCATGCGGATTTGGAAGTTCAATTAAAAACTAAACTTGTTTGCGTTCACGCCATTCATTATTTTTTCAAAGGAAAAATTTCACAAATTAAAATATGCATTATAATATTTCGTTCATTATTCATTTAAAAATGAATTAAGTACTAACTACAGAAATAAGACACCAAACTACACAGACTCACCACTCACAGTGTATTATAGTCTATAACAAATTATGAAAACCAACATGATAAAAAACTAAAATGTATCATTCAAACATTTTTAATTTGTATTTAAAGTAATACATATACTATATAATTAAATAAAAAATTAATTTAATTTGGATTGTATGTATTTTACAAATGTTACAATGTTTTATTCAAATTCTCAAAAATATGAATTTCAATCACGTCACATTGTTTATAACTTATAAATTATAAGAAATAAGTGACGCTCACTTGTCRTTCACAGTATGGACGTAAGTATGAACGTAAATGCTATGAACACATCCTTTTCAAACGCTGGATTCATGGGCAGGTGCCTAATAATATWTAATTAATTATATGTAACACACTAATACTAAATTATTTATCACTCATGAACCCATTTTATTACTGCAAAACAATTATTTAATTAAATTTTAAATTCCTCTCGTCTATAGCATATAATTAAAAATAATGCCATTTCAGTAACTATTTATTTGAACAAAAAGTTAAGATTCATTTATCTATTATGTTTGGACTCTATGATTAATTTACATATTTAAGTATATATGTGCCTAATAATGATAATAGATAATATGTTGAATTTTAAAATATTAATGTACCTAAGTTGTTTTGATATTAAGTAGGCACTTGAATTAGATATCAATTGTTTTTTACAAATCTTGCCTGCGGGAAATATTTAACTTGTAATCCTACATAGTCACATATAGGCGATGACATTATGTGTATTTTAGAAATAATTTTTGTACATACATTTTTTAACAGTAGGTAGTAATAAAATATATATAATTTCTAAGAAATGCGAGTATATGGTGACTTTGAATATTTGAATAATTATGTTTATGTATCTAAACCAAATTAATACAATATTATTATTATTCTGTACCTGAGGCATGTTGGCTGTAATGCATTTGATGCATACACAGTTCCTGTCCTCCAGTCTTCACAAGCAGAAAACATTGATAGAAGACTTTTTATATGTAAAAAAAAAATATTTTATAACGAAATACTTAAGGTTTAAATATTTATTGAATACATTATAAATACATACACATTTCCTTCTTGGCTTAAAAAATAATGACAACTTGATCATTATAAATAGAGATTATGACATGTTTTTATCATAACATATTATATAAAATATCAGTTTGTAATATCAATCTTAAACTGATAAAAATAAAATGTTACGAAAATATATTACGTAAAAGCGTCGAATATTTATGTTTAGTAACAATTAGATTCTGTTAGAAATATAAAAATAAATTAAAAATGCATCTCTAACGAAAAACATAGGTCCCAAGGGCCAAGAACTATGCGTGTAATACCTAGTAGAATTCATTTAAAATATAAATTTCAGTTAAATTAAATAGATATTCGTAGGTTTAAAAAGTAAAAATTTGATTTTTATATGTCAATATTTTCAGAAAAAATATCTAATAAATAATTTACAGTAGAAAAGGTGTTATTTGAAAAACAGAAATTTGTATCTTTAAAGGACCCTATATACTTAAATAATACAAAAAATGTCAAATTTTGAAAAAAACCATAAAATATATTTTAAAATGTGATTTTAAATAATTACAGCATTTTATATTTATATTGTAGTCATACTCGTACGATTGTTCGTATTAGTGAGATTAAAAACTCAAAACATTAAATTTTAAAATCTCATGGTTATGACTTTAATTTTCTATACATTTCCTATCGACATTCCTGTCTTATATGATGGCTCTATATCGCAATTTGCAACTGTACACCAAGACTTATAAAATATATATATTAATAATAACTAATAACTATACGAATACCGTTTGGTTATAGTTGTATATCTGTCGTATATTTATTCGTCAATTCGTTCGTCCGTATTTCGATGTTAGATACTGTCATCGGTTACGGAATATAAAAATTATAATTTTTTTTTAATTCTATAATATTTATATTGTTGATTTTATAAATAAATAATACAAATGTAATATGTTTGGCTAGCACACATATTAGTCTCGAATAAATGGTTTTTTCAGCGACAAAAATAGTACCTAGGTAATTAGATTTCCTACCGACCAATAATGCTGTGTTTGCGTTTGAGTTTACGTTTCCAATCGTCTAAAATACATGATATTATGTGAATTTTTATATTGAGTATTTGATTAGGCACTACAACATTATCGGTAATGTATATTTTGTAATTTAAGATAATACGAATTACGATAGTTGTTTGTATAATATAGAAAACGGGAAGTTAACAATAATTAGCTTGTACTTTTGGACGAGTGTTCTTTTCCTCACTTATTGTAATTATATTATTATCTTGACTCCATACATTTAATGTAATATTTAGACCATTAAATTTTTTAATTGCCCTGGGAACCATTTTCTCGTTGTTAAAAACCAACTGGACGACTCCGTAGAATTTAGATATTTATTTGAGACCACAATGAGCCGTATCGCGGACGCAGAGACAGGACTTCGAAAAAAAAAGTCAATATTCWTAAATACATCCAATTTTCTCAAATATAATGGTTAAATTTGACTATGGAAAACAATTAATAATCAACAGTTTTTAATGTAGGTATTTTTTAATTCAAGTCAGATTAACATATTATATAACGGTATAACATCATATTATGTTACCTACTTCTCTTTACATGAAAATTGTATAGGTAATATTTTGTTGTTATAAAACTGAGAAAAATTAAGGTTCGAAGAACGCAAAAACTAATCGAATAAATTATTTCATTGTTTTATACACTGGTACTCAAATAAATATTTGATGAGGGTTTCAAGTGTAGGGCATTTTTAGATTACGACCAAAGAACCAACATAATATGTTTTTGTTAAAAACAGGTATTCTCAACGTTTTGATTTTAATTTCTCAAGTTCTTCAAACTGTTGACACAGCATGAAATCATATGTTCATTGCTTTAAACCATTAATGTTATTTTCATCATGCATGAAAAGTATCATATTAAAATGTTGGATCATTTTTTAATTGTATGGTTACATAATGTTATACTATACCATCGAATCTGAAAGTAATTACGCTCGTATTTTCAATTTTCAATTTAATAAATGTGCTTCTAAAAACGTTCAATTTTTATTGCGTGTCTTATAAAACGAGTTGAAAATTATTAACCACTGCAGTGAATTATAAATTTTTCGCATTGCGCAAAGTGTGTGRAATCAAATTTGTGGCCAACTTAATAAGTTGAGGATTGGAATGTTAGTCGTCACCCTTATTAGATAAGCTTTTATAATTTGTTCGATGTTTATAATAGGTAGTATTACGTTTTCCCTTCAAAATGCCAGAGAAAAATCCACTATAACGAATGTACGCATACCAGATGTGCGTGTAAAATTTGAAACCTATATGGTCTTATTAAATTAAATACTATATCAACACGAAATAATTATGCAGACTTTTGAATATTAAAAAATACGCTTTTTGTTTTTCAATTTTTTTTATTTATTTCCAATAATAAATTATTAAGGCATACCATATAATAATAAACTTGTACATGCAAAAAAGTGCATAAAATATAAATTACAGGTATTTTAACTATTGAAAATTGCCTGTTATTTTTCAATAATACTAACATCAACAACATTTCATTAAAGTATAATTAAAATAAGTGTAAAGTTATCTTATACAATGTTTACGAATGAAATAATATTTAAACACATTATTTATCTATAAACATATTATATGTTATTTATCATTGATTGTTTTTGTGTGTATAAAAAATCAATAATTCTAGATACGTGTTGTCTTTTATTTAATAAAAATGATCTAAAAATAATATTTTTTAATGATTAAAATTATTATGTAATAATTAATTAATACTGAGTTTCTTCTTTGAATTTATCAGCGTTTCAGCCATTTGAATCATGGTAAATTTAATTAGGTACCTAAGTATAATCAGTTTCCGGTGCATAGG